AAGCAAGTAACATTTTAGCAGGTGGTCGGTAGTGCTCGACTGCCACATACACTGCTCATCGAATGTTGGATGAAAGTCGAAAATTAAATGGTTAATTAATAAGGTATTTAAATATTTATATTCGGTATATACTAAAATATACTAAAACCAGGAAGTCAAGTACAGCTCTATATACCTTTCACATTTGAGAGTCAGGGTATTTCAGAGAGCTTCAATGAGTGTGTGAATGTGTTAATTGCAGCTTAATTTTCTATGCACTTCAATCGCCGGCATCTAATTAATTATAAGTCTAGTTCTTTAAATGGCCAAAAACCTGTACCGTCTATCCCGATTGCCCGTCTGCAGTTCACCGAAGGCCATTCGGCATACCGGACAAATTGCCTGCGCTGTCTGTGCGCATCCGCGAGACAGATTCAACAATTGCCAATTAACGCAGAGTCTTTGAGGCACTGCCTTGATGAAGTCTTCACAGCTTCCAGCTCTTAGCTCTCCGCTCTCCGCTCTCAACTCTCAGCTCAGGTCTTTATGCACTTCACAGCTGCTGCTCATCGCTTGACCTTTCAATTAATCATGGTTAATTTATTTGTGCATACATAAAACAATTTTTCCAGTTCCAAGACGAAGCGAGGTGTTTCTTCTGATGTTGAACGGTAGCTGCTTGTCAGCTCGTCTAGTTTTTCATATTCCGCACAAGTTTTGATACGAGCGACTGTCTATTAATTTTCACACCAACGGCAGGTTTCGAACTGAGCCCCAAACAGATGCTTTGCATATCTGAATAATTTAGTGTTTATTTTTATTTTGTTTGTATTTGAATAAATGTAAATGAAACTAGCTTATGCGTGTTTTCTTTTAGGGTCTTAAAGAGTTCATTCAACCCTTTCTTTGGCACACAAAAAAATTCAAATTGAATTATTTGCATTAAAATTTAAGCAAATTCTAGCTATGATTTATTATCAAAATAGAAGGTTATCTGAGTTTTTGTTACTCTATTGCATAAGATTACTATTCATTCTATATATATATATCTATAACTGTTAGACTTGAGTGTATAACTGTATAGCTTTTGATTAGGTCATCTGATCTGAAAGTAGACTAACGTTTCATCTTTTGGAAAGAGAATTGGCTTACTTTAATAATTATTTAACAATTATTATTACTTGGCCAGCCTTTTGCGCCCACCTTTCTATTAATAATCTTTCTGAAAGTTCAACTCTGTTGCTTATGTAATACTGAACAAAGGCCATGCGTAATTCCCTAAGCTCCGGCTTCTATTTACAACACGCGCCTGCGGCGATTCGCAAAGGTAGCGCCACGAAATTAGAGCATATAAATAGACGAAATTATTTATAACAATTGCAACAATTGATTTCCAACGAAGAAGAGCGGACAATGGAAACGTCGCATCATTGAAAACAAAAATCAAAAATCATAATAAATGAAAACGATATTTGCAATGACACAATAAATAAATCGAGAAACAATTTTTGGGTGGCAATTGTGTGAAATTCCAAATTATTTCACTCTCAATTTCAAGCGTTATCAATAGAGATCACTGGGTGAGTGGCATAAAAATAAAATGCTCCGGATATCGCCACCATTGCCACACACACACACACATACACCCACACACCCACACACAAAGGATGACATTCTGCATCGCAAATGGCTTATTAATGGCTAGTGGGCGCATAGGCCGGGCTCAGACAATGGCCTGCTGCTTATTTAGCTGGCAGACGGAGCACTTTCTTTAAACAATCGAAAGCAAACAATCGAAATTTGTGGAACCACAAATCAAACACTCACAACAATGAGAAATCGGTCGCATTAGTCGCAATTGTTTGGCACTTTTTTTATAATACATATTTACGAAGCGAGAGCAATCGAAACTGCATTTGGCCCCACACAAAGTGAATGTGCCTAATCCACCTAAAGAGATAGAGTATTGTACGAATAGATATTAAATATGTAACGAATTATTGATTGGATTACGCATTTTTGGATGATTTCTACAATGTCATTTTACTTAAATCGATAGAATTTCATAATCAATAATAGTCGACATTAAACGATCAAACTATTAAAAAAAAATAAAATAAAAAAAATAATTGCACCGCACAACTTTAAGATCATCTATTTAAATTAATTAAGTTTGATGATAATTATAAAT